ATAATGTGCAAATGATATACCAGAACAATTACTGCTGGGAACACAGAGTCATCTTAAGAAAAACACATACAGATCTTGCACACACATTTCCTTGCTTGTTTGTTACTGACCTTCAAATCCAGGGCTTTGGTCAAAAAGCTAAATAAACCAATTTTCTCACCCCTTCCCTGCCTTTCTTCTTGTTCTTCCTTTTTCTCTTCCTTTCTTTGTCTCACCCCTTCCTCTTTCTGTCCTTCTCATTCCTTTTCTAAAATAAGAGAACACAAAAGTCTCCATTTCTTTTTGTAAACAAAAAACCACAGTCTTGGAAGCAAACAGCCAAAGGTCACTCTTTCAGTTGCTTTGTCAGTAGAGATGGATTTTGTGAATTTAAAAATCATCTTGCTCAGTTCTAAATATAAGTTGCCTTTCAACTTTATCTTTTTTCCTTTTTTAGTGTTTTTATTGAGCTATACATTTTTGTCTACTCCCCTCATTTCTTCCCTTGTCCCCCTCTACCCTCCACCATGATTCTTCCACTCCCAATTTATTCAGGAGATCTTGTCTTTTTCTTCTTCCTATGTAGATCCATGTATGTCTCTCTTAGGGTCCTCTTTGTTGTCTAGATTCTCTTGGGTTGTGGACTGTAGGCTGGTTTTTCTTTGCTTTATGACTAAAAGACACTTATGAGTGACTACATATGATATTTCTCTTTCTCGGTCTGGGCTACCTCACTCAATATTGTTTTTTTCTAGATTTATCCATTTGCCTGAAAATTTTAAAATGTTATTTTTTTACCATTGAGTAGTACTCCATTGTGTAAATGTACCACATTTTCTTTTTCCATTCTTCAGTTGAGGGACATTTAGGTTGTTTCCAGGTTCTTGCTATTATGAATAATGCTGCTATGAACATATTTGAGCAGATGTCCTTATGGTATGACTGAGTATCCTTTGGGTATATATCCAAAAGTGGTATTGTTGGGTCTTGAGATAGATTGTTTATTAATTTTCTGAGAAATCTCCATACTGATTTCCAAAGTGGCTGCACAAGTTTGCACTCCCACCAGCAATGGAGGAGAGTTCTCCTTACCCCACATCCTCTCCAGCATAAGGTGTCATCAGTGTTTTTGATCTTGGCCATGCTGACAGGTATAAGATGGCATCTCGGAGTTGTTTTGATTTGTATTTCTCTGATGGCTAAGGATGTTGAGCATTTCCTTAAGTGTCTTTCAGCCCTTTGAGATCTAAAATAGAAAGATTTCCCATGCTCTTGGGTCAGTAAAATTAACATAGTAAAAATGGCAATCTTACCAAAAGCAATCTACAGATTCAATGTAATCCCCATCAAAACCCCAGCAAAATTCTTCACAAACCTTAAATGAACAATACTCAACTTCATATGGAAAAATAAAAAATCCAGGATAGCCAAAACAATCCTGTACAAGAAAGGAACGTCTGTAGGCATCACAATCCCTGACTACAAACTCTACTACAGAGCTACAGTAATAAGACCAGCCTGGTGTTGGCATAAGATCAGACAGGAGGACCAACGGAATCAAATTGAAGACACATATATCAATTCACACACCTACAAATACCTAATTTTTAACAAAAAAGATAAATTATAAAGTGGAAAAAAGCATATTCAAGAAAGGGTGCTGGCATAACTGGGTATCAACATATAGAAGAATACAAATAAATGCATATCTACTGCCAAGTAGAAGACTCAAGTAAAATGGCCCAAAGACCTCAACATAAAACCAACTACACTGAACCTTATAGAAGAGAAAGTGGGAAGTACACTTGAACCCATGGGCACAGGAAACCACTTCCTAAATATAACCCCAGTAGCACAAACACTGAGAGAAACAATTAATAAATCGGACCTCCTGAAACTGAGAAGCTTCTGTAAGGCAAAGGACACAGTCAACAAGACAAAATGACAGCCTACAGAATGGGAAAAGATCTTCACCAGTCCACATAAGACCAAGGACTGATCTTCAAAATATACAAAGAACTCAAGAAACTTGACATCGAAAGAACAAAAAGTCCAATTTTAAAAAATGGGGTACAGACCTAAACAAAGAAATCTCAGTTTTGTCTTTTTAAATGCCTATCCGGCAGTGGGGACAGAACCAGAACTTGTATGTTCTAATTGCTCACCCTGTCACTGCCCCTGCTTGCTGGCTTCTCTGTAACTCTGTGCAGAGTGGCATCACTCAGCGCCATGCACATTTTTCAGGCGGGAGAGGGCCAGGTACAGTGTGAGAAGTGCCTCGCTTTTTCAGCCAGGATAAACCTCCTTTCCAGACCTGCAGGAAACTGTAGGAAGATCCAGCAGAGTTGAGATGCAGGCTTCAGCTCAGTCATCTTCTTCTCTCCACCTCTCTTTGACAACCAGATTTGTGAGAACAGTGCTCTGCAATGGAAATCAGCCAAAGAATTTGTCCCTAGCTTGCTGTCTGCCTCTAAGAAGGCAACTGCCTTCCCTGGCCTCATTAATTTGCCCCAGTCAGGGGAAGGGCAGGGAGTTGGGAACAATGTCTCATTGGAAGCCTCTAGAGGATCAAGTTTTTAGACACACAACTCATGAGCCTCCACCCATGGTACCTCCCGATGCCTGCCAGGGACCCACGACATGGAGTTTATACTTTGCTGCCTTACCCACTACAATCCTGCTGTTGAGATGCATGCACATCCAGAGTTCATCTCAGAAATTTATAACTGAGAGTGAAAGTTACAGCAATCTGATCCCTTCCTGCCATTCTTCACTGACAATCAGAAACTCGTGAATCAGTTTTGCATGAGTTTAAACAGAAATAAGAGAAAGACAGCACCAGGAATCCCTTCGATATAGTGTAGATCTGTTTGCTAAAAGCCCCAGAAAGCATGTTCCATTTGTTGATAGGCTTTGCCAAAAATTCCTGCCCATTCAGTCTAAATCTCAAAGCCAATTTTAGTGACCATAGGTCTATCGTCTTCATAGTCTCCAGACAACTTGAGATCTAAAGATGCACACTGGGGAACTGAACCTCTGGCTGGATCTCACTTTATAAGCACTACATTTAGTATAAGTTAAATTTACAATGATATCCTCATTCAATATTCTCTTGTTTAAAAGAGAATGCAACAAAGCAGTGAGATTGTCACACGTGAACAGTGAGATTGTCACACATGAGGATGTCAGCTGAGAGGCTGGGGAAAGGACCTCAATGTAGAGGGCTTGTCTAGCAGTCTCAAGACTTTGGTTTCCATCCCTAGACACATGTGCTATTGGGAGAGTAACTTAGTACAGGTGATTAAGTACCAGTGTGTGACCATCCAGTAAAGGTGAGGGCTAAACCTGCTTCTAGCCAACTATGACTTCTTAGTGGCATATTAGATCAATACAGAGGATCATAACCATGAATTTTATTTAAATGAGATGAATGTAGTACAATACACCTGAAGAGATCTCCTTCCACCCAAGTGGTTTTTTTTATCACATTTCAGCATTACTATACAGTAAATTAGAACTCTAATCATTTTATAAAATACTGTTCTAAAGTGAATCATAACTGCTCACACTTAAAATAGTATTTCTAAATGATTTCACACTGGATGTGCATACATCCTTAAGAGTAAGTACTACAATATGTGTGTGTATGTGTTCATTATCATTATCATTGAAATGTATAAAACCTGTGAGGTATTATGAATAACATTATATAATATTAAATACGTACAACCAAAGACTAATCACCAATGTGATTAAATCTTAATATAATTTGAGGATGGAAAAAGAAAATCTCCACTTCCATTTATAAACGCTTCAACAGCATAGAAAATCTTAAATATTTATCATATGTGTTCTGTTTACATATGTGATCAAATAGGAGGTAAATGAATGCCAGAAATAAAATTTAAGTTCCCAGTCACTAGGAGGGAGGGAGAAGAGAAGACTCAAGCAGTAAAACAGAAACTAGAAACACTGGTAACTCTATTTCATAAGCTCATTGTGGGAGACAGCCACATTCCACTGACTCTTTGTGTGTTATTTATGTTCTTTAAAGTAGGAATGACATATTTATTGTGATCTAAAATCTATAGGACATTTCCGGAATCAATCGTCATCTTTTTGACTCCTATTGCTCATCTCAATAATGTCACAAATCAGCTCCTTAATAAGTTAAACTGCTATTCCCTTTGATATATGGGCTATATTTCAGATGTTTCTTTTATCTTTCTTGTATAATTTATGACTTGTTACAGAGTTTGCTGCTTTCAGAACTAAGTGAAATACAATACACAGTGAGGTCATAACATTCTACATAGAAATCCATTCTCAGCCTCAGCAGTTATAATAAACATGCTAAATTATGTCTGCAACACATGAAGAAGCTCTTTACAAGTTTACTTTATGTTCCTTTCATTGACACCGCTCCTTACCACCCATGATCACAGCAGGGTGGGCAGGGCCCCTGGGGGCTTGCTTGCCTTTCCCCTCAGTGTAACTAAATGAACTCACTTAAGAACATATGTCAGTATTGCTTTGTAATTAGAACATATATATTTCTTTAAAAACTAAAAACAATTTTTAAAAATAGCTGTGAACATTGCTACATAAAAGGCTGCATGTGTCTTTTTCCTCGGGCACTGACCATTAGTCTCACCTCAGTTATCTTTCTCTCCTCCTGGACAGAGAGGGCACACATTCAGCCATCTAAAGTAGCCAAGCTGATAGACCACAGAATCTATGTACTGTAACATGAGGGCCGGCTTATTGGGGTATCTGTCCTGCCCTGTACCCCACAACTGGCATGCCCCAAAGAGAAAATCACACACAGGACTCCATAAGATTATAAACTGATTGGCCCATTAGGTCAGGCTTCTTATTAGTCCTTGTAACTTATATTAATCCATTATCATTATCTATGTTAGCCATAATGGCTCAGTACCTTTTCCAGCTGGGCAGCTTACATGTTTCCTCTCTGGTGGTCTGGGCAGAACTGCTGAGGGAGCTTCCTGCTTTCCAGAATACTCCCAGTCTCTTTGTTGCACCTCTACTTCCTGTCTGGCTTTCCCGCCTATACTGCCTGCAATGAGCCGGTCCTTGTGTTACAATGTACGATTCACAACTATGTCCTGAAAATATGGAGGACATCTTTAAAATATTATGTAGAGCAAAATGTCTGTTTGGAAAAGTATGAAATAGAAATTTGGGCCGGGTGGTGGTGGTGCAAGCCTTTAATCCCAGCACTCAGGAGGCAGAGGCAGGTGGATCTCTGTGAGTTCGAGTCCAGCCTGGTCTACAAGAGCTAGTTCCAGAACAAGCTCCAAAGCTACAGAGAAACCCTATCTCCAAAAAAAAATTTGAAATAGAAAATTGGCAACTCGTTTAATCTGTCATATGTGTGTGTGTGTGTGTGTGTGTGTGTGTGTGTGTGTATACACATATATGCTGTTACTGTTTAAGGTCTGATTCAAATTCTGTGTTCTCTACACAGCTTTTCTTTGTTCTTCTCCTCAGTGCTAAGGTACAACTGTCCCTCCTGTGAGGTCACCCAGCTTTTCATATATGCTTATGCACTGTTTCTTTTTATTTCACAGTTTTATGCTTACATCCCCTACAAGTCAATATTGTTAAATATGTTAAATATTGTACTGCAGATGATGTTAAAAATCATTTGAACTGTAAGAAGCAAATCAGATCAGCCAGACCTCGTGTAATCAACAATACCTGGATAAATGGGGGGAAGTCCCTTTTGGCAAAGTAAATTCCATGTCCCGCGTATGTCCTAGAAGACGACAGGAGAACCACAGTGAGAAGAAACTGTGGAAATAAAACAGAGGAGCCACTGCCGGGAGAGTGCTTAGAATATTGCCCTGCAATAAAATACCGCAACCCATTTCTCCCATGCCTCCTATTTGACCTTGCACAGAGTTCAGAAGAATAAATATTCATCAAGAAAATAGAGCATAGTCCACAACATCCTTAGATGAAGAGACATCCTTCATCAGAAAGAAGGATGGGAAACAAGGAAAGTAGGGAACAAGAGATGTCCCACCGCACAAGGCACATGGATCATAGCAGCAACACGCTTCCAGACAAGCACACGTGACGTGAAGCAGTGTGAATATCCTCTAGAGATCACTGTCTATAAGACTCCATGAATTTCAGGGCCACAGCGTAAGTGAAAGTTACAGTGTCATAGCTTCCAAGTCAGAAAACAGGCTTCTGATGAGAATTTCTTCCAAGGATACGTAAAGGTATGTTTTACATGTGTAGAGTAGAAGTAGTCTACACATAATATTGATAAATTGCACCATAGAGTTAACACCAAACAAAATCACAGCTATCCCTCAAGTGATTATGAAGATCTGCTCTTTATGACTGGCGAAGTCAAGGACTGGCTGCATTATCTCTTTCTGTTTATAGGAATGCTGTAAGTCCTGAAAGAAAGCTTGCCATGGGGAGCGTTTGAAATAGATATGGGATCACCCACCCCCAGTCGCCCCTCAACAGAGCAGACGGGATGAAGAGAACACTCATTTTTCCCAGTGGAAACCAGACACCTCACTTTCATCTGAGCTCACCCTCGGATAGAATCCTCATCCTGGTACTTGAAGCTAGATTCCAGAATAGCAGCTTCTATAGTCAAAAGTAACTATGAAAGTGTTTCTTAACTCACACACAAAAAATGTATTTAATGATCTAACACTTAGATTGCTTACCTTGATAGGTTCTATTTAACTAATATAGCACTTTAAAAATGACTTTCTTCTTCAGGCAAACTAATCTTTTATATTTTGCTTTTCTTTGCCGTGCTTCCCACTTGATAGGTCTGTGGATTAAAAAAAAATGAGGAAGTTTCATTATCCAAATATTTCCCCATCCATTTGTACTGATTCTAAAAAATTCTTCAGAACAATTTGGCTTATTTGCTTATGAATAAAGGGAAGGGGTGTAAAGGAAAATGTGATACATGGGGCAGTTAACAACTTTGTAT